TTTGTTCTTCACCCTATGCCCAAGCTGCACAGCTTCTCCCACTTGCTCAAATAGGTGCCTTCCCCTTGCAGCCCCCACCAGCTCCCATATGGTGCTCCCAAGTCCCACACCCACAAAGTGCATGAACTCTCACAAGCTATTCCGCCTCTGAAAGAAAACTTGGCAAATCTTTATTTGAAATCTTTATTATACATTTTTTGAAAAGGCCATGATAAAAACCATCATAGTAAATAAACGAGGTAAATAAATAAACAGAAGAATCATATATAAACAAGTAAAATCTGAATAAATATAAAAGTAATGAAATAATTTGAGATAAGCATAAGAACTAAGAAATATAAGTAAACATTTAAACATTCTAAAAAACATTCTAAAAACATTGCAAGGCAGTATAAAACAGTATTAAAACATTGTCAGAACATTATTAAAATATTATAGAAGCCATGATAACATCATTATGAATATTATAAAGCATTAGAAAATATTAAAAAATATGAAAACGATTTAAGGACCATTATAAAAATATTATAAAAATATTATAAAATGTTTCAATTTTTAGACTATTTACCTTAAGTATAGTATTTATAGTACTTACATTTATTTATAGTATTTATTTTACTAATACTTATTTATATTATTTACACTGTCTGTACTACTTATGCTTATTTATATTATTTATACTATCTATACTTATTTATAGCTTTCTATTTCTACTCTATACCCTATTTTTATTCTTATCTATCTATCTATCTATCTATCTCTAATCCAGTTTCTTATTAATGTCTAATTTATTCCTTCATTGTTCTTTCTTCTCTGTCTTTAACTTTTTCTGTTCTTCATTTACCATCTTCTGGTTCTGATCTTCTCTGTCTTCTGCACAGGAACAAAGAAGCAGAAGTTTGGTTTTGGTCCACAGACCCAAAAAGAACCTTTTCCCTCTCTCCCCTAAAGGATACAAAAATAGTTGGTGGGATATTTCTGACATTACTTATACAGGTGACCCTTGCTATTTGCAGGGGATACATTCTCATGATTCCCACAAATGGCAAAATCCATGAATAGGGCACTGTGTTCACGAATGCAGTGCCCCCGGCAGCTGGGGAGTGTGGGCACGGCTCCGGCGGTGACGGCAGCAGCAGGAACCAGTGGTGGTGGTGGGAGCCCGGTGGCAGTGGCGGGAGCCCAGTGGCAGCAAGCACGGAGCTCCCGAGGAGCTCTGGTAAGTGTTTAAAGTGTATTTAAAATGTGGGTTCGGCATTCACAAATATTTGAAACCACGAATGCTGAACCCGTGAATACCGAGGGTTTCTTGTATATAACTCGGGGTGTCTTGTATCCCAGGGGGTGAGCCTGGCATGCAGCATCCACCCTCACTGTTGCTTGCATTTCTGGAATGCATTTATAACAAATATGAAAGTTATCTCGAAGTATTAAAGTACTAGAAACAGGTGCCACACACACCCCCTCAGCTGCAAACTTAACATTTGCTGCTGCTGCTGCTTTGCTGTTCCTCATCTGCCTCCATCTTGCCATTCCACTTTGTTTCTTTTGTCCATACTTTTCTCCCAAAAAGGTGCCTAAACTGTGTGTAGGTAAAACATGAACACTGTACTTTAACCTGGCCATACAAATGTACTTTGACTAGACAAATGTACTTTGACCTGGTCATACAGATCCTTCATTCTGTGCAAGCACCAGGTATGGGGCAGGTGTGAGCATGCTTGATAGTGGGGGTGGAGGGTTGGGCTGGGGTCACTGGCACTGGGGTCTTGGTCAATGGGTCACAGTGTCTGGGGCACTGAGGTTGGTAAAGGACCAAATATGGCACACTTTTTTCATGTGAGTAGTTTTAACTCATATGAGTTGTTTAATTATACTAATGAACCTCTCATGTGAGTAGGGGTTTGCTGGATCAAGGCCAAAATGTGTCTTGAAGCTTTAATCTTTTTTTTTCTTTTTCCACTTCTGTGGATCCATTTTCCTGTATCAGATCAATTTCAGATGTTACAGCTCATAAATATTTTTTTGTGGGTGGCTGAACTGTTGCTGGCTATATTCTTTTAACATTTAATTGTTGTAGGGCTATGTGGAAGAGGGTTGCAAAAAGTCAATATGACTCCAAACTGTCACTGAAGACAGTAAGGCTAGAGATAGAAGTTACACGTAATGGTTTAAGTAATCAGAAACTGGTTTAAACCTGTAACAGAACAAAAGTTTAGTGCACATAAACCAGCTTCAAAATGGCTGAAACTGGTTTAAGATAAAACTGGTTGAATATAGTAACAGACTTAACTGATTTAGGTCAAACCGATTTATGAAACTTTCATCCCAGACCCCTTCCTTGTTCAAGTTAAATCAGAAAATCAGAGTCCCCCAGCATCCTAGCATGCTTTTCAGCCCTGGGCTGGGCTGCGCTGTCTGCTCCAGAGAGCAGGGGTAGCCATGCCCCTCTGCTCCCTAGCTGGAGTAGTGAGAGCTGGCTCACTGCCCCCCCACCAGGCAGACCCCTGCTGGGGCCTGGGGTCCGTGGGTGGGGGGCGCGTTAAACTTCGCTTCCCCTGAGTGCGGAGCTGCCCTGCCTTGCTTGCTTAGTGCTGCCTGTGACTGTGGACTACAAATCCCAGAGGCACCTGGAAGGAGGAAGAGAAATTAATGAGCAGCTCTGCAGAATCCTGCTGATGTGATTCTGGACTGCAAATCCCAGAGACCTTGGGGGCAGCAGGAAGAGGGAGCAAACACACAGCCCATGCTGGCTGTGCGCCAGAAAGCCCTGCTCTAGCACCCCCCAGCTTTTGGCTTGAGCCACTGCAGGCATGTGGCTGCATTTCCTAAATCAAAAGTTTATGTCTGTTCATTTGCTTATTGATTCAATCTTTGCAGTTTAGGCTACCTTGCAAAGACTGGCTCAGTTCAGCCTCAGGCTTTCTGAGTTTCTGTACGTAGCCTAAGAAAGTTGCATTCACAAGCAAAGCTTTCAAGTCTTCCAGATGTTCCAGAAATTTCTGATTATGAATTAAAACAGGCTGCCTGTTCTCTGCTCACCAAATTAAGCAATATTCTACAGACAGAAGGGATTATTCAGCCAGTTACTTTTCCTTTTCTTCTTGCCTACCTGCCAGGGAGAAAAGGAAGGCCTTAAAGCATGCCTTTGGGGTGATGAAGTAAAGTGGGAGCCTTAAGCTCTTGATTCTCCTCTACTGACTGTCATTTGCAGATCTGTGCACTTTTCACATTGGAAAGTGAAAATTAGCTTCAGTTTAATATGAAAGTATTTCCCTCTCTAAATTTTTCTAGTTTACACAACAACTAGCTGCCCACCTCTATTGACATAAATGGACAGAATATGGCTCCATCCTGGTAACTTTGAAAATCGATATGATGTTTACCAATGGAGTTTTAATATACTAAATGTATATTTGGGCCTTGGGCCAAAGGTTATGAGTGTTGGTCATGGACAGACGTTCAGCTTCTCCAGGGAGAAACCCTGTTCTCGCTGGAGAAATTGTGTGTGTACAGAAGTTTGTAATTTTTTCCCAGTGGCCACACAGGGAGAAAAATAACTAACCTATGTTAAATATTTCCCAGGAGAAACTCTCTCAGGAGACAGAACTTCTGTATAGGCAGCAGATGCACAGCCAGCCTCCACAATCCTGGTGTGCTTTGCTTCTTTTACCCTCCTGTAACAGGGGGCCTGCTCGGGGCTGATCTCGCTGTGGCCCGCCCACCTGTTCCTGGCTGAACTGCCTGTGTTCTCGCCCGCCATGCCTTGTTGGTATAATTAATTGATGACATTAAGCGGGAGGCTGCCCATTTCCTGCCCCGATGGCAGGGGGCACTATCTGTGGCTCCATTCCTCCCCTACACCACAGCCCAAGCCTCGCTGATGGCATCTAGCTGTTCTCACCATCACCGGTCCCACACTGGGCCCCAGAATCCCCCTGATTAAACCCCAACCTAGAATCCTCTCATCAGGTGGTCTCATCTGCCTTCATATTAGGCAGTATAGCTCCCTGACCCACTTCCCCTTCTGGGTGTGGTCCCCCCACCAGGACCTTCGGCTCTCTAGCCCTGGCCCACCTCCAGGCCAGTCAGAACCCCAGGCCCTCAGCTCTTGGGCATTCCTCGTGGTGGGCCCCTGGCCCTTCGACCCTTTTGGTCCTGGCCCCAGCATGGACCAATCGGGGGAAGTTCAGACAGGCATTGAGTCTATTGCCCTTTTCTCTCTCCGAGGTTTCACTCTCTGGGTCCTCCAAAACAAGGGGTAACCCACCCGGTTGTAGGGGCTAGGGATTAAGGTGCCCCAACCTGCCTTTCACCAGGGTGGTAACTGGCCTGGCCCCACCAGGCCACCCACTCCCGGCAGGGTGCAGTTTTAGGTCATGCCCAGGACCAGGAGCTTCCTTACCATCCCCTACAGCTCCTCCCTTCCCTCCATATGATATCAGCAACCCTCCGGCCAGGCAGTGTTATTGCCCTGTTTATATGGGCAGCCCCAGATCCAAAATGGCTGCCCTCATCAGGCACTTGGCAGCTACCAGCTCCAGGCCCTTAAAGTGGCAGGCACACACAGTGCCCTGCCACACCTCCCCACTCTCACAGGGGGAGAGGGAGCATGTCTCGGTTTCAGCCAAGCATGGAGCAGAACATGCCTCCTGACCCAGCCCATCCCCACCCAAGTGCTTTCGGCTAGAAAAGTCTAGCATTGAAGCAGTTAGGGGACATGTTCTGTTTCTGGGTTGTTCCCTGCCTGAATTGCACTGCAGCACTGAGGTGCAAGAAAGCATACAAACATTGCCCTGCCCAGCCTTAGCTGGGCTCCCACACAGCATGGTGGAGGGGAAAGGCTGGAGGACTCTTTAGTGAACAGCATTGACTCCACCTCTACCTCCCCTGATCCTGATGATTGTTGCTGACATTCACTTTAAAAAAGTCTGCAAAACTCTCTGGACTGTGTGCTTTAGGGACTCCTGGCACCTAGCATCTGCACTTCAGGCTCTTTGCTTTTCTGTCTGAACTTCTGTACAGGTCAGTTTTTCTCTCAGGAAAACAAACCTGGGAGAGTTGTCTTGGATGATTTGAATGGGTGTATGAAAATTATCTTACAGTATCTTCTACTTACAGTACATTGTATAGTTGGCTGTGCAAGTAGCAATACAATGCATTGCTTTCCCAAGCAAGTAAAAATACACACAAAGTATTTCCTTGTGACTAGATTTTATAAATAACTCTACTTTACTTTTAAATAATATAGCTCCAACATGGGTAGGACATCTACTCCTAAAAGCCTCTCATGGCATTTACCCCTCATTTGAGCAGTCAGGAATCTTCACCCAAGATAGTAATACTGTAAAATAAGAAAGAAATGCATAGCTCCAGTAAGGATTGACCTCCTTCTCTGGTCAATGCTAATTGTAAAATATGGGTAAAGGAGACAGTAAGAGTATCACTATTAAGGAAGTGCTGCATCCTAAGACAGAATATCTTGAGAGCTATATGGATATAGGGATGCCCATTGGAGGCAGAAGCATCTACACTTAAGAGCGAACTTCTGTTTCATCTTCATGTATCTAAGTGGCACTCATGTCCAGTGTAATGGCAATTTGTATATTTACCTATAGTTAGAATTCTATTTCCAACTATAGTGATCTATCTCACCTCTTAGCCCAATATCCTAGGGCACTTTCACATGGAGCAGGAGACCCATGTTCTAGGCCTCCCTCAAATAGAATCTGCATCTCCTGCTTGTTAGCAAATTGTTTTATGTACCAAGCCATGGACTAGACATTGCCTGGAGTGGTCTCCAGTCTTCCCATTGAAGCTGGCCCACTGCATCTAGCCTTTAATATTCAATGGATAAAATCAACAGCTGAAGTTTGAGGATTTTTATAGCATTACCATATGTGCATTGCTTGGAGATTCCATTTCCGCCAGGCACCTGCACAGCTGGAATGCAGCTTACGAAGCACGCTCAGAGATAAACAAAGGGCATGCATAGCTATGTAGAATCTAACCTAAATGTCAACATTTGCAATGATGTGGCTATGTAAGTGCTTGTTAGACACATGAAGGTGAAATGAGAAGCTGTGGGCTAAATCCTAAGTTCTGTCTTAGCTGCTCCTTCCTTACTCTTGATAACTTGGATCATTTAAGAAACCCTCAGCCCTGCGGTCTTCATAGGAGCTTTCCTCAAAATACCAGTATTGGTAGGACTGCAGTAATATTGGGGGAGTTGCTTGTACATCAGCCAACCATTAGCCATCAGGTAGACTTCTGAACAGACATCTGCTTGAACCTGAGGAAAGAAGCAATAGAACAGATGTTGGCAACCTTTCACCAACAGTGGGCCAAATTAATATAGCTCAGTCTTAAGGCAGGCTGGATATAGCAATTGTGAGATATTCATAGATTGTAAGGGGCTATAAGGGACCTCACAAGATCATCAGGTCCAGCCCTGCTGCACTAGGCAGGAAAGACAACTGGGGTCAGGTGACCCTAGTGAGGTGACCTTCCAGTCTCCTCTTGAAGATTTCCAGGGTAGGTGATTGCACTACCTCTGGAAGGAGTTTATTTCGCAGTCTAGACACCCTAACTGTGAAGAAGTTTTTCCTACTGTTAAGCCTGAAATGGTCTTCCAGGAGTTTGTGGCCATTACTCCTGGTTTTCTTCAAGGGTGCCCTGGTAAACGGTTGTTTTCCGAGCCCTTGATGTATTTCCCTGTGTCGCTGGTAGGTGTTGTAGGGCTTTGGCCCCTTCTTGAGTGATGCCTTGCTCCCCAGGAATGTCAGGTTGAGATCTGGATTTGGCACCACCTATGTGCTTTGGTTGCTGCTCCTACTCTCCTGCCATGCCTTAGATGTTTTATTTTTCTTGGGAGACAGTTCCCGATAGATGGCCTGTGAGATCTCACACCTGGATTTCTTCATGGGATTTCAACCTACACTTTATTCCACCCTTACCGCATCCATGGCCAAGGCAGACTCTGCTCTCCACACGTCCTGCTCTTGGTTGATCCTGTCTCATCTGCACCACCTGCATCCAAGGGTTGACGACCTTCTGGCTGTCAGTCTTCTGAAGGCTGTCCTTCATCTATGGACCATGGACTTGGCAACTAAACATACACCAATCTTGGGTTAACTGTAAATTTAGGAATACAATGAACAGAAAAGGTCAGCATCCACTGATGGATCCCTGGGATCTTGTCTCCTGGGCCCATCATCCCGCTTGGGGCCTCTTGGCTCCACTCTGCCTAACAGTTGTCTGGGAGGTGCAGTAGCTCCCTGCTGTGCCTCTGCCAGCTCGCTTGGGGGGCCCTCCTTTGGGTCCCTGACCCTTCCCACCTCAGCCCTGTCTGACATGAGGCTGGGCTGTCTGGGTCACACCAGCTGGTGCTGCCTGTCTCTCTCTCCCCGCATTACACAGTTTTCCCGGCTCGTCTCTCCAGAGAGGCTCCTGGTTGAGCTGGAGTTTCTCCCTTGCTGTGTTCTGCCGCACTCTGTGACCCTCTACCTGACGCACTGCCCAAGTGTGCCAGTGGCCTCTCCGTGCTGCCTCCGCCGCATCTCCCGGGTCTCCCCTTGCAGCCCCGACCACCTGGGCTGGTGTCCTGGCAAGCTGCTTCTCCCCAGCAGCGTTCCCTGGAGTCCCTCCACCCCTGGGGCTTGGTTCCCTGGGTCTCCTGCCAACATCTTGCTGCTGGTGCTCAGCTCTCCCCCGCGGCGCTCTTCAGCCGTGTCTTCGGCTGCCTTTTGAACAGCTCACGCCTCTCTCTGGCCACGCCCCCTTTCCCCACTGATTTGCAGGCTCAGGCAGCTCTGAAACTGCCACACCTGCTCTTCCCATCTCAGCGTCTCTCCCTAGCTGTCACTCTTTGCTGTACCTGCACTGAGTATTGGAGTGAGTCGGGGGCTGGGGGGGGGTGCGGCTTTTTGATATAGTGGTCAGCTGCTACCAAGTCCCCTCTCAGCCTTCTCTTTTGAGGCTGAAGCAACCCAAGTCCCTCCCTGGACTCTCTCAAGCTTTTCCATGCCCTTGTTGAAGTGCAGTGCCCAGAACTGGAAACAGTACTCCAGCTGTGGTCTCACCAATGCCGAGTAAAGCGGAAGAATCACTTCCTTGGTTTTGCTTGAGATGCATCGGTTGATGCATGCCAGAGTATTGTTTGTCCTGCTGGCACTGATGGCTCATGTTCATACTATGGCCTATTACAGGCAGTCCTCGACTTACAATGTTTTGAGTTAAAACATTTTGCACTTACAACGTTATAATTGGACATCCTGTTTCTACTTTCTGATGTCAGTTTCGACTCTACAATGCTTGATCCAATGCAATGCCACACCAGCGAACAACTTCGCTGCGTTACCCATCTCCCTGGAGGACATCTGTCCAAACTTCCTTGGACACTTTCTTTAAGAAAGCAGACAAGACTCCTGAGAAGACTCCAGCCAAGAGCCCTTCAAAAAGTCCAACAAAGTTACCTCGAAGAAGTCCTTCCAAATCAATATGATTGCTATTTACAATATAAATACATTAATGTAGCTATAGTACTCATCTATAATTGATTGAGTACAAAATTCTGGGTTATTTTTGGTGAAAATAGGGTATCAGGCCTTGGTTTAGGAACCAATCCCCCATTTATAACATTTGTTTCCTATGGGAACATCGCTTCCAAGTTACAATATTTAGACTTAAGAGACAGTTTTCAGGAACCAATTGTGCCATAAGTCCGAGGACTTCCTGTATTACCTTTAGGTCCCTTTCAATCGTGGTGCTAGTCAGTTTGGCTACACTGAGCCTGTCAGTATGTTGGGGATTGTACGTCCCCAGATGGAGCACTTTAAACTTCTCAATGTTGAACTTAATCTGGTTCCCATCCGCCCACCTTGCCAGCATAGGCAGATTAATGCATGGACCAGCTGGCCATGAGCCCAGGGGCCCCTACCAATTCGGGGTCCTGGGATGTTTATCAGCAGGGAAGCGAAAGCGGGGTTTTAAACGGGGTGCAACTACACCCAGTTTAAAACCCAGGCTTTCACATTTATTTCCCTGCTGTAGCTGGGGAGTGGGAGGCAGGCTGGGGCTGTGCTGTGCAGCTGGGAGTGCTGTGCATTGTGCCTGGGGTGAGGAGGGGCCAGACCAGGAGTGCCGTGCAGCGCTGCATCTCTGCAGGCTTCTGCAGGTGGATGGCAGCACTAGGGGAATCTTGGGGGGCTATAGCCCCCCAAAATTCACCTTAGCCCCCTAAGCCACCCCTCCCAGCACCACCACCTGCCTGCAGAGGCGCGGTGCGGCGTGGCACTTCTGGCCTGAGCCAGGCCAGCCCCGTGCATGTGTGGGGCTGCACGGACAAAGCTGGGCAGCAGCTCCCTGGGTGTGTGTGTCTACTTGTGACTGTGTGTGTGCACAGCTGTGTGCATGTGTGCGCATCTGTGCATCTGTGTGCACCTGTGCCTGTGTGCACATCTGCATCAGTTTCCATGCATGTGCATGTGTGTGCATGCTTGCGTGCTCATGTAGCTGTTTATTGCAGGGAGAGTGTGTTTATGTCTGTGTGTCCATGTGCAGAGTGAGTAGAGTGCACACCCATCTGCGTCTGTGTGTGCACCATGGGCGCCTGGTGCCTCCTGCAGAAGCCGGCATTGGCGGTGGGGACGGAGCTGGTGAGCACCTGCAGATGCCGCCGGGGGCATTAGTGGCGGGGATGGCCCTGTCAGGGGAGGCACGTGCCCCCCTGTGCCCCCTACCAGTCGCCTATAGTGTGTGCGCATCTCTGTGTGTGCCTGTGTTCATGGCAGGGAGAGTGTGTTTGAGGCTGTGTGTCCATGTGCAGAGAGTGAGTGAGAGTGGAGTGTGTGTCTGTATGCTTGGCCATAGCGGGGGAGCGGGGTGTAGAGCAGGGAGAAAAGGGGAGCATGTACCCTCCCCACCCCTAGCCCAGCAGGGTCCACCCACCCTCCCCTGCTAGTATCAGGAAGGGAAGGAGCCCCTCCCCCCCGCCCTGCAGCCCAGCTCCCATGGGGGGAAGGGGCCTCCAATTTTGTTTGCCCAGGGCCCCAGTACACCTTAATCTGCCTCTCCTTGCCAGCCTGTCTAGGTCTGCTTGTATCTGCAGCCTATTTTCAAGCATGACCACACTCCCTTGGGAACCAGCAGCGGGGAGGAGAGAATCCAGGCACACGTGGGTCCCGCACACATGTGTGGCCCCTTACTAACTTACTGACCCAAGGCGGAGGCGGAAGCAGCAGCAGCAGAGGAATCAGCAGTGGGGGCAGCAACAGCTGATCCCCCGAAGGTAAGTGGGGCGGAGGGACCCGGCCCAGCTGAGCCGGATCCGGAGGGGAAGCCCCCTGGGTCCCTTATAGCTGAGCCGGTACAGAGCCGCACTCCTGAGCTGTGCGGCGCGAACAGAGCACGCAAACAGGTGCGCTCTGTAACAGCGCGCCGGCGTTTGTGCAGGCATTCGTGCCAGCGGGTGAGCAGGCAGGAAGGGCCAGGAGGGAGACTCCTGCAAGGGTAGGGCGTAGACACCTCACAGAACTAACAAACAGCAGCTTATACAATGGTGTTGACGCAGAGTGCTGTTAGGGCCTCTGCCTGGGGGGCCATGCCTACCCAGGGCTGGTCTGAGGCCTCCACCCAGACTGAGCCCATGGGAGGGCTGGTGTCCCCCTGCCTCCTGGCCTGTGGGGGATCCCCAGCAGGGCCGGGGGGGGGGGCAGAGATTGGGGGCCCCCACACCTGTCCTGCAGGTGCCCGTCTTAGGGCCCTGGAGGCGCAGGTGAGGGAGCTCCGGGAGGAGGTTAGCAGGCTGAGGGGGATCAGGGAGGCGGAGGATGAAATTGACAGTTATTTCCTTTCCCTGCAGGACCAGGCACCCAAGGAAGAAGCACCCCGGGAGGTGCCCTCCACGGCAGAGTGGCAGACAGTCACATCCAGGACCAGGGCTGCTCGCATCCAGGACCAGGGCTGTCCGACTGGAGAACAGGTATGAGGCCCTGGCGACGCTGCAGGAGATGGAAGGAGAGGAGGAAACCTCTGGGCAGGAACCAACACCACACTCTCCACGCTCTGAACAGGTCAAGGGAACCAAGCAGACCCAGAGAAGGAGGCGTCAAGTGATCGTCATAGGCGACTCCATCCTGAGAAGTACGGAAGGACCCATTTGTCGCCAGGACCCCTCAACACGAGAGGTCTTCTGCCTGCCCGGAGCAAAGATTCGGGATGTGACGGGAATAAACCAGGCCGTGATTCAGCCCACCAATTACTACCCCATGATCCTAGTCCATGTGGGTACTAATGATATGGCCAGGAGACGTCCCGATCACCTGAGCATGATAGTCCATCATCACTCTTCATGCACTCCTTTCACCTTCATTCCCTGGTCCTGAAGTGCTTCCCCTACTATTGCCATGAGTCTGCTGAAATTGGCTTTTTCGAAGTCCAAAACTTCAACCCTGCTAGCGTTACTAATGGAAAGCCATAAATTGTGGAATCTGTATTAGATAATCGCCAAATGCTTTACTAACATTATTTTAAGTCTTCCAACAGCCTGTTAATGAAGTAAAATGATATTTTATTGGACTAGCTGCATAGACAACGAGATAGAGTTGGACAAATTTTTGAATGCAAGAATGCTTTGCATTTGAAAGATTGTCAAACTCCACCCCAACTATGCAGTTGATCCAATAAAAATACAAATCTATGAAATACTTGCCTCTCATATAATCCCTGGAACATCACCTCTACATTGCCACTATAACACTACTGTCAAATATTATCCTTATTTTATAGCTACAGGCACACAAATATTAAGGGATTTGCATAAAAATCAGGTACAGAGCAGGGAATAAAACCCAGAACTTCTGATCTTCAGGCCATTGTTCTAGCCACCAGATTAGCAGCCTTCATTCAAAATGTTATTAGCATTTAAGAAGGCAGGCAGGTGTATTTTCTGTTCATTTTCTAGGGTTTGGGGGGGGGGGGGGGTTCCCAATTTTGGAGAAGACCAGGGTTGGATTGGCAAAAACAACAACCAAACAAATAAAAAACAAAAATTGGATTGCAAGCATGTCACAAGGTTGGGGTCCCAGGGGTGACCATAATGTTCCCCAGTGGCTCCACAACCATGCTCACTCCACCCCTAGGTTACCCTCCTCTCTCATCTGCCATGCCTTGAAAGAAATACAATGATAAGAGGGAGGCTGCCTTGATCTTATTATAATGATGACCATCCAGATTGTGGTTATGGACTTGTGGGCCAACTACACGGCTCCATCCCTTCCCTACCCCATGTCCTATGCCTTGCAGATGAAATCCTTACAGAAATACAACCAATTGCTGACAGTCCCTCACTGAGCCTTCCAACCCCTCAGCTTCTCAGTCCCACTCGTTTCCAGACCCCTCGGTCTCTCCTCCAGCCCTTCTCTGAGCCCTCAAACCCCTTAGTCTCACCCAAGTTCTTCTTGGACTAGAAGACCCCTCAGTCTTTCTCCCAGCCCCTCTCTGGCCTGTCAGCTCCTCTCTGGTCTCTTGTCCTAGACTTTTTTGTTCTTCACTTTCTTGGCTGCTCTCCAGTTGAGTACTTTTCTGTTGGGGTGTGCTCACCTAGCCTTCCCCCTCCACAGGGTCACCCATAAGGCAGTGGGAGCTGAGGTCTTTTGGCACTCCATCCTCACCTTTCCCTGGAGTGGCTCATTATGGCAATTCATGGAAGCTACCCCACCACAGGTAGCCCCAATATACTAATGAACCCCAGTATGGTGCAATTTCAAGTCTTACCCAGGACTGGTATTCTGGCCTACCTAATCTTGCTCACCCCTCTCTTGGCTCCCCCTAGATGCCCAATGCCCCCTGCTGGGCTAACCACTGAGCCCCCTGGCTCTGGCTCCATCTTTCCTCCAAGTTTTCCATTTCTGGCCCCAGCTCACTCCCAAACCAGCCATTGTCATCCTGGGTTGCAAGCCCCTTGACCCCTTCCTCTTTCAGCTGTGGCCCCGTAGGGACCTTTGGCCTCTCCAAGGCCCTGGCTCCACCTCAAGGCCAGTCAAGAACTCCAGCCCCTCTCCCAGGGCTCATCTGGTCTATCCACTAGGCCCCTGTGCACTCACTCTCTCTCTATTTGGGCTTGTCTGGCCTCTCAGCAGGGCTCAGGCACTCGGCCCTTCTCTTAGGGCTCTCCTTGCCCTTCAACAGGCCCACAGACTCACAGCCCCCTTCACAGAGCTCTGGACCCCATACTGAGTCCCCAGGAACCTCCTCCATCCCCTTAGTTCCTACAGAAACCTCCAGATGTTATTCTCTTAGCTGGTATTCAGGAGTGCCGGCCTTCCTAATGGGTGATGTTCCTACACCAGCTCCCAAGGTGTTACTGCCAGCCCTGCTCTCAGGGTCTGGGTTTATACCTTGTCTATACCAACCCTCCTCCAACCAGAACCATCAGGTGACTCCCTTGTCCAGGCCTAGCCTCTACTACCTGCCTCCTGGGTCAACTAGTTCTGTAATTAGCCCTGACCCTCATCTGCCAGTGGTTCAGCAGGCTGCCTGAGCACTTAGTGGCAGGCAAATCAAGTGCTGTGCCACAAAGTGGTTTGTAATTTATCAGAAGCAACCTATTTTTAAAAGGCAGTCTATCTGGAAGTACCAGCTATGAGGGCTAATAGGTTATCAAAAATAATTATGCTTTTTAAATAAACAGTCACTAGTTCCTAGAATAAGTTTTGAGATATGGTATACACAGTATAAGAACTAGTGTCTGGGATATAATTATGACAACCTACTGACATTTTAATTATTTTTCACATATCTCACTTTAATTTTGCAGTTGCATTCTTCAATAATGAATGCTTGTCTATCTATTTGTACACGTTTCAGGGTATTGCTAGCTCAGTCTTCAACTTCAGCTCAGTCTTTTGTTTCCTGGGCGCACACGGCCCACAGGAAACCCTTAAGCAAAGCTCAGTCCATACTCAACATCAACCAGGCAGTCCCTCAAGTGTTGGGAAAGATTCAGTAATGCACCCAATCACAGTTCCCACTGCTTTGCTGCCTGCTGCAGCCCCGGGAGCTGCGGACAGGCTGCGCCGCACCCCTCCCCCCACCCTTTCTCTAGTCTCAGCCTCCCTCCCTCCCTCACCACCATGGGACTGTATCCCTATCTGTTACATTATAAAGTGGGTTCGCTTTATGCGAATTCGAGTTATGCGCTGTTCTCCGGGAATGCATGTACCACATTAATCGAGGGAAACTTGTATAAAATGAGCTATTAGTCCTTATATTATCTTAGCTACAAAGAGATCTTTACCCAATGCAGGCAGGAAGCAGTTCTCGTACAGCCTCACAGCATGGATCCTTTGCTTATCAGCTGGGTGGCAGGATGGCTTCCTGGTCTTTCCTGGACTGCATACACCTTGCTGGCAGTTCTGTCTTGCTTTATACTGTTTAATTGTATAGCTTCAAAGCATTTTTCATTGATAGTTGGCCGATTAAAGTCAGAACAAAACAGGGAGGAAAAGGGAGACCATCATATTACAATTGTTAAATTGCCTGGTTCCTGTTTTTGGATTTGTCTAGGTGTGAAGACTTGTGTTTCATGCAGCCCCTACAATTATAGGTCAAGTACAGGTGATGGGCCTTGAGTGATCAAACACACTGGCGATGTGTAGGGGGTGTGTGTGGGTGCACATGCACCCCCTGAGCTTGGTTGTTCATCCCCTGCAAAAAGGTGCTGCTGACACTGCTGGCAGCACCTGTGGGCGGTTGCTGCTTGGTCCCCCCCGCTTTGCTGCCAGCACTGCCAGCAGTGTCTGCAGGCAGTCCACGATCACTGCTGGCTGCCGCTGACACTGCCAGCAGTGCATGCGGGTGGTTGCCAACCACCAGTCAGCACTCACTATCCTCTCTCCCCCTAACAGTGCCGTGGCTACCTGCAGGAGCTCACCACTCGCTGCCGCCATGCTCCTGCTGCTGACAGTGCCTGCGGAAGCTCACCATGCCCCCGCCAGCCTCCAGGGGCATGTGGTGTTCATGGTCAAACAGGATGCTTAGAGGTGTTACCAGGCCTGGCTTTGGGTATGTATCAATGTGGCAAATTTGCAGTAGCTTGTACTGGTGATGGCTTATTTACAAAACTCCAGACATACACTGAATGATTGAGACATTTGTAACACCTTAGACATTGGATGCCTGTTTGGAGAAATGTTAGCATGTCACGTACAGGACATCCTTCCTGTATTCAGTACACCTTTTACAGGTTTGTTTGAAATGTATATTATTTAGTCTTTTGTCTTTTTTAGTTGCTAGTTCAATTGAAATGCATATGTAGTTACCTTGCCTTCACTGGCTTGGCCTTTCCTTTGGCTCTATCTTGGAAATATACATGTGATAAGCATGTTAGGTCTCTGTTAACAATTTTAACTATCACTTTAATTATTTTAGGGCATGAGTCTGGTATTGGGTATCACAAGCACTCCACTGTCTTGACGCCTAATGTGTTGCAAGCCATTAGCGGAATTTGGTATTCTTGTGGCAGTCTTGTTACCATGATCCAGTCTTTCCCCAGCAATTGTCTTACATTTTTGTGCAAGAGACATTGTCCAACCTCTCACAGTTTTCATATGCAGCACCCAGGCCCCTTGAGCTGGCAGTCTACTACATCATATTTCTCAGAAATATAAACAAATATTATGAAATAATGTATTCTGAAGTTTGACTGAAGTCTTTTTATGAGAAAGCCAAAGTGAAACTAAGGTTATGTTATAGATGTTCAGTTTCTACCAGGAAAATCAGTGTTATCCCAGTAGAAACCAGAAGTGTACAGACATTCAGGCTTTAACTCCTGGAGCAAAAAAATAGCTGCATCAGGAGAAAAATAACCCTGGTAAGTCAATCCTTGGAGAGTTTTTTTCCTAGGAGACTGAATGTTTGTACACCCTCCTCATGACTTAACTGAGGGAGAGACTCCCATGCCTTCCTGAGACCTGGGACAACTTGATCTTGAGAAGGTAGGGTAGGGGGGGAAGCATGTACTCCTGTCCCTCCCATACACTAGAAGGGGAGGAGAGGAGCAGCCACTAGCTATTCCCTCCTGCTTGTCACACCACAGTTCTCAGTATGAAAAGTTTTGCCCCACCTTTCTCTCTACCCTGCTCCCAGGCACCAGGAGCTGATCAGCTCAAGAGTTCTCAGTGTGAAGGGGAAGCCAGGCAGGGGGAACTGGGCTGGGGAAAGCATCCCTAAGCTCAGCTCCTGACCATGCTAGCTTTTAAACTGCTGCACCCACTGCTTACCTGAATGGTGGAGGAGGCAAGGGGAAGGCAGCCAGTGGGGAACTGGGCTCAGGGGCCTCTTACTTGGGTAGCAGGGCAAAGCTGCTGCCTGCTCCTCACACCAAAGTCTCAGGTATGAGAACAGGCAGAGGCTTTTCTCCACTGCTCTGTTGCCTCAACTGCACAAGCTGGGAGCTGAGCACAGGGGACAGTGTTGCAAGCCCATTGCCTACTTCTCGCATTGAGTCCCAGAAGTCAGAGATGGGTGAGGGTTCACCCCACTGCTCCCTCTGTTCTACTTCCTGAGACTGGGAGCAGAGCAGAGGCTCAGCTGCTTCAGGCAGAAGGACTTTGCCCTGCTAATTCTCTCCCCTCCCAGACTGATCTGGCCTTCCCCAAGTCAGAGAAGTGCCCAGCTACTACCTTCACCTCTTGGACAGGTCTGGGAGAGAAGAGCAGCTGCCACTGCTCTTTGCCTCTTCCCCAAGCTGGACGCTGCCCCATGTGGGATAGGAGCTGGGGGCTTTGCCCCAGTGCTACCTCCATTCTGTTCCCTGAGACTGGGAGTGAGTGAAGGAGGCTGTTCCTGGAGCCTGGTCTGGGGCAGATGCAGGGAGTCTTTCCCCACTGCTCTACTCCCCACAGGCAAAGGAGGAGGGACAGGCACAGTTCTCCTTGCCCTCCCCACAGTGGGGGCAGCTGCAGGCTGCATGTCTGTACTGATCCCTCTGCTGGAAGGATTTCTACCTGGAGATACGTCTCAGAAATTTCCCTTAGTAGAAAGTACATTTGTACGCAGCCTAAATATGAAGAAATTTGCATAACCCTACTGAAGAACAGAAGGGATTACTACCTAAATTTTTAGTAGAGGTTGTCACCATGAAGTGTGAGCACACACATGACATGCAAAGATGTGATTACCCAAAATGATTATTAACTACTTCTAGTAGTTAATATTAACTACTTTAGGACCTCCATGGCACTTCCTCCAGTAAAAATACATGGGGTATAGCCACACTTCTTTGCTCTTCCCTTCCTCAGTCTCAGGTAGGGTCTTTCACACTCCCCAAACCCCAAGTAATACTCTTGTTAGCAGTTCCTTCTTGCTCATCCTACCCAGGACAGGCCAGGTGTCTTGACTTGACACTTAAGAACAGGACACTGTTGGTGTATCTACAAGTGCTATTAATGCACAGCAATAAACTCCAGTGTATACCACACCACATTTTATTGCTCCCAGGTGATGTGTTTGAATGTGAACCTGGGATTGCAGCACATTGAGCAAGGGTTGGAGCAGCTCTGGCTGGCAGGGGGCCTGCTGGGTCAACCTGCCAGCCCAGGGCTGCTCTGACCCAGCTCAACAAGCTGTGGAGGGGCTGACTGGGGCATGCAGGCCATGTGGAATGCTGAAGGGGCAGCTGCAAGCCATATCTAATCGACTGGCAGGAGCCCTCAGACGGCTGGATCTAGTTGGCAGGCTGGATACAGTCCATGGGCTGTATTTTGCCTACCCCTGACTTACAGTCACATTCTGCTCTCAGGGACGCCAGTGCAATTCTCATCAATTTTCACAGAAGTTGTATTCCGGTAACTCAGAAGAGTTTCACATTTTATTGTTGTGAATCACTTTAAGTTCTTTGCAGAACCACTGAGTCAGTTTAGCCTTTTGGTGTTTTCTCAAGCGATTACTAAGCATTTGGAATGCTTACTTGCACTTCTTGATATGTCCTTTGCACATACATATTTGTGTTTTGATTAAGCAATTGAACTCAATACTGGATAAGTGGTTTTGGTAACTGTGTGCATTCTTCAATGCTTCAAAAAATTCCTTCGAAAGATTCTAAATAGGTACTATACAATTACTAAACATTCCTCAAAAGTTGAATGCGATTCTTTACCTTTATTATTTGTAGACTGGACAAGAAAAGGTTTTAAAATGCAATTATGCCTCAGACAGCGATTTCATAAAAGTGCTGTCTTCTGAATCATTTGTTTGCTGCCTGTGATCAGCATCACATTTGTATCCTGATTAATAGAGGTTTTTACCATTTTTTACTCTTATTACTATAACAGAACCCATTCAGTTCTAGGTGAGCAACCTGCATTTTATACTTGTTCAGACATCATCAAAGGAACTAACTCAACCAGAATTGTAGACTATCTACTTTTAAAGACAGAGGTACCACAAAACAAACCCTTTATTTTCAAATATACATAAATGGAAATTCTCTCTCTCTCTCCCACATGCTTGCAAATTGAGCAGGTTCAATTTGGAAGTCTAAAAATAATACAGAACACTGTAATGCCGTTCTTACAAAGTAATTTTTCAGAGTAGAGCCACATATTTAAAAATCAAGAAGGGGAGTTCCAAATATGCAGAGGGAATGTGATTGAGTAGGGGTGGGAGGTCTGAGTAGTATGTTCATCAACCTTAGTATGCTCAGAAGTTTATAAATTAAAATATGGGTACTCCTGTTTATGCTTTGTGGGGGATAGAAAGGAGGTGGGTGAAGTAGTTTTGTATTGTCTATGAAAGATAGGTTGAAGACTTGACTGTTAGAAAATGTTTCGACAGGTGTGTAGGAGTAAATGTTTGGGGCAAAAACTGAAAGCACAATACCTCATTAAGGAAAGCTAGAACTGCTTCATTTTTGAAGCACTGCTTATTAAGTAGCTCCTTCTTTAAATAAAATATCTTATGCAAAAGCTGTCTAATCCATCAGAAGTCCTTTATTTAATGAGAGTACCATCCCTTTCCTGCACTCCTGATTATGTAATGAGGCTCACCAGTCCTGCTTAATTAAAGTTTCACAAATCCAGGTGCTTTCCTTCCATTTCATAGAGCTAAATAAAGGAGCAATATCAATTTTGTTGCTCATTAAGACTCCCTCTACATGTTACAGGTATTGCACAATTAACTGGTTAACTGTGCAATTACCTTAAGCCCAGCTACACATGCACACAATAAAAAACTCCAACCAGGTATTAAGTTAGACCTTGAAAATGTGTGCTAATTTTATAGCTGGTTGCTATTGAGCTTTAATTTGCACATGTAGCAGGGTCCCCCTTGCAGCTGAGAGCCCCATCAACTGACAGGGCTCCCAGCGATAGGTGTGTTCCTTGCCCACTGTGAAACCCCCAAGCCCTGGGGATTGTGGCCACCATGATCCCCAAGGCTTGGAGGGGTATGAAATCCCCAGGCTACATGGGGCTCTTGACCTCCTGCTGCACCTAACACCAGGAATCTCATCAGTTGAGGGGTTCTCAGCCCTGGCTGCACGTGGCCTGTGCAGCTGAAAACCCCCTCAACAAGGGGGGCTTCCAGATACGGCAGCACAGGGGGAGCTTAGGATTGGACTCCCTCTGCACCAGCTCCCTAACTGTGAAGTAGTTCCTATGGATGTCTAATCTGAACCTACTCTCCAACAACTTGTGGCCGTTATTTCTTGTTATCCCAGGGGGCGCTGGGGGAAACAAGGTCTCCCCCAAACCCTTCTGGTCCCCGCTAGTGAGTTTACAGATGGTCACAAGGTCCCCCCTCAGCCTTCTCTTGTGAAGGCTGAACAGGTTCAGGTTCTGTAGCCTCTCATTGTACGGTCTGCCCTGCTGTCCCTGGATCATGCGGGTGGCCCTCCTCTGGACCCTCTCAATGTTGTCCACATTCCTCTTGAAGTGGGGCGCCCAGAACTGGACACAGTATTCCAGCTGTGGCCTGACCAGTGTCGCGTAGAGGGGGAGGATCACCTCCTTGGCCCTACTTGTGATGCACCTGTGGATGCACGATAGGGTCCAGTTAGCCCTGCCGACTGTGACCTCGCATTGTCGGCCCATGTTCATCTTGGAGTCAGTGATGACTCCCAGATCCCTTTCTGCCTCCATGCTCTCAAGAAGGGAGTTTCCCATCTTATAAGTGTGTTGCCGGTTACTACTGCCCAAGTGCAGCACCCTGCACTTGTCCGTATTGAAATGCATCCTGTTTTCGTCAGCCCACCCTTGCAACCTATTCAGGTCTTTCTGCAGTCTTTCCCTCCCTACTAGCACGCCCACCTCACCCCAGATTTTGGTATCATCAGCGAATTTGAACAGGTTGCTTTTCACCCCATCGTCCAAATCGCTGATAAAGAAATTGAACAGTGCGGGCCCAAGGACTGAGCCCTGGGGGACTCCACTGCCCACTTCCTCCCAGGTCGAATATGACCCGTCCACCACCACCCCTGAGTACGACCCTTCAGCCAATTAGCAATCCATCTGACCGTGTAGGCATCGATCAGATTGATTGAAGGAAAGGAAGAGTTGGACTAAGATGGTATGCCGAAGGTTAGGCCTGAGGGGAACAGCTGAAAGGCCAACCGTACCTTGTCATGCATCCACAGATGCATCTCAAGCAGGTCCAAGGAAGTGATCCTCCTGCTCTATGCGACACTGGTCAGGCCGCAGTTGGAGTACTGAGTCCAGTTCTGGGCGCCGCACTTCAGGAAGGATGTGGACAACATGGAGAGGTCCAGAGGAGGGCCACTCGCATGATCAGGGGGCAGCAGGGCAGGCCCTACGAGGAAAGGCTACGGGACCTGAACCTGTTCAGCCTCCACAAGAGAAGGCTGAGGGGGGATCTAGTGGCCATTTACAAACTAGTCAGGGGGGACCAGCAGGCATTGGGGGAGTCCCTGTTCCCCCAAGCGCTCCCAGGAGCGACAAGGAATAACAGTCACAAGCTGGCAGAGGGTAGATTCAGGCTAGATATCAGGAGGCGCTACTTCATGGTCAGGGTGGCTAGGATCTGGAACCAACTTCCAAGAGCAGTGGTGCTGGCTCCTACCCTGGGGGGCTTTAAGAGGAGGCTAGATGAACACCTTGCTGAGCTCATTTGATGACAGTACTCTTTTCTGCCATGGCAGGGGGTCAGACTTGATGATCTGCTCAGGTCCCTTCCGACCCTACAAACTATAAAACTATGGAACAGAGGCAGACTGCTTTGCTTTCAATTCCATACACCTTCTGCTTTCACTTGGGGTGGTCGGAACATAAACTTGCAAAAACTTGCAAAATATAGGCCCTAACAAGAAATAAAAAATAACTGCACAATCAGAAGAGTGCTTCAGACTTCCAAGTAAAGAAACAGCAGTCCAAACAATTAGGTAAGTCAGCTGGCCACCAATGCAGTCATCAGGAAGCTGATTACTATGTTTAAGACTGAGAGACTATCTGATGTTCCAGACTCTAATAACGGAGGAAGAAGCTATTGACTTGGAAGACTGAACTGCTGTGCTAGAAACTGCAAGGCAATGAAGGCTTTTAGGTATAGTGCTATGAAATATCTAGGTGGCATAAATATCCAGGAAGAGCACACACCAACTGCTGAAACTTCCTTAGCCTGACGAAGGGTTTTTGAACTCGAAAGCTTGCTTAATAAGTATTCTCCAACTCTTTGGGTTGGTCTAATAAAAGATACCAAATTCACCCAAGGAACCTTGTCTGCCTATGAAATATCTCTGCACTTTGTAGCGCTGCAAAAATGCACTGCTGTTGGGGGCGTATAGACATTTCATCCAGGGATGTTTTTGTGGATACTATTGGAGCAATGGTTGCCTGTGAATGGAAGGGACTAAATTTAATGGCCTGGGAGGCCCCTTCCAGTCCTACATTCTTAGATTTTAAACTCTAAGTAATATCAGGCTAAAAAAGAAAAAAAACCCTTTTACTGTGAGCAGCACTTTGAATATGGTGTGGCAGTGGTAATTATAATTAATCAGTGCTAACTTGAGCTGAGATGTCCTGTGCTCAGATATATAGAAAGTTTATCTTTATTCAACCAAGGACAGGGACTTCTGTTCTTTTCCATGTGGTAGGACACTTTTTCCAAAAATGATGGCATGATCTACTGTAGGCAAACATGATCTAACTGCAAGGCTGGTTTTAGATTCTCAGGCACCTGTGGAAAACATGCCCTTAAAGCTCTTATCTGTTAGGAAATGTTGGACTATGTGGCTCCTCAAATGTGCACACCAGTGGCTATACAATGGGAAAGATAGGTTACACATCTCTCTCTCTATATATATAGATATCTATATCTATAGATATATCTAGATACATCTATATCTATCTATCTATCTATATCTATGGAGAGAGAGAGAGAGAGAGAGAGGTCTGTGTCTGTCTGCATTTATGTTCGCTTATAACTCAAGAATGGCTGGTCTTATCTACTGTAAACCTTCCAAAATCACTGAATACTACCTGAAGAAAATGATAGTTATTTTTCACATGACTTTATTTGGGGCTTCCACTGACTGGGATAACTGTTTTTCAGATAAACTGGCACCACTTAATTTTGGATGCAGTGAATCCAGTTCAATTGTCACTATTATATTGACACTTGCCTCTTTTCTTGCTCCGCGTTAAATATTAAATGTTAAAATGTTGTACTAAGTTCACTGAAAATAAACAAACACTGCAGTTACAAAAATAGCAACCAGGGCGGTACTTCAGTATGCGTGTTCTGTCCGGAGGGTTGGGCAGAAACCCCCGCAGGTGTGCGCTGCTGTGCCCTCTCTGCCCACGCGTGATGGGGATCCTGGTTTTCTCTGATTAAAAATTGCAAATTCTTCGATTAAAAACCCCAAATCCATCATAAAAATTAAAGGCCCCCCACGGCTCCCCCCAAAGTGCTGCTGG